CTGCTTTTTCTTTCCTAATCCTTACTATTCTCATTTTCCTCTACTTCTTTTGTATATTTGTCACACTCTTGTGACCCGCTATTTCCGGGGTGCCTTGAAAGTTGAAACAGACTTTGTGTTGTTGAAGCTAGAGAGGTGAGCAGAGTAAGCCTGATTCCCTGTAAAGACTTCTCTGTTGACATCCACCCCTTGGCGCTCATATGACCTTATGCAGTTGCGAGTGCCGTAATACCTCTACTAAATAAATAAAATTTTAAAAAAACAACTTTGAACCAAATTTTAGATTTGATTGGAGCTGAGGTCTGTGCAAGATAATAGCAACCTGCGCTCCTCCAGTCTTTCCAACTCTGACTTGGACATGCTCCCTCCCCCCTCCCCTTTCGCAAAATTTTTTAGATTTCACAGAGTGGCAGCAGAGAATGGGGTAATAGATAAGAACACTTTTTTTGTAGAGTTTTGCTTTTGCTGTTCATCCTAGTCAGTTTTATTTCGGATTGGATTGTTGTTTTCTATTGTTGAAAGAGGTGCTTGAAGGAAAGATGTGGGGCAGGAGAGCCATAGGAAGGCAAAGAATAACATGGATAAACAACATAAGGACATGGACTGGACTGGATGTGGCAGAATGTGCAACGGCAGCTCGCGACCGTGAAAGATGGAGGGTCATTATACGTCTACCCCTGAATCAGAGATGACACCTCCAGGTATTGTTGCAAAAAGTCCAAATAATAACTTTGTAATTATATTTTTTACACCAGGTGGAAAGTTAAAAACAACAAATGAGAAAGATGAAGAGTCTTTACAAGCCAAGTTTTTTTCTGACGAGGAGATCAAAACGTCTCGAGAATCATTCAGGTAATATTTTGTGATGTATGTTACTTAGTGGTCTGCACGGTTTAAAATTAGAATGTTTATTTGTGGGTGTAAATATAAAAATTTTCCATTTCATAGGTGTCTGATTTGTTAAAATTTGAATTTTATTTTGTATCCGTTTAAAATTGTCATTTTCATATCTATCTGTATAAAATGTTTATGTGTCACGACGCAGCGGAAATGGGCGCTCGTCAATTTTTGGGCATATGAAGCTCTTGATTCATCTTAAAGCTTGATCACTTTGTATCACATGACTTGGCCTCATGTGAGTACTGCTTATGTCTGGGGCCGTTAATTGTCAGGGTCAACAAGCTCGTTCACATGGTCGAAGTGCTATTCGGGACTTATCAGTGGGATGGAAGGGAATTTTTTTAGACTCTTAGACTTGTCGTTCTTGATGTGATACTTCAGGATACCCCACCCAAAAAAAATCAAGACAGAAAAACAAACTTGAGGAATGAAAATGAAAAAATACCCAACTATCTTGAATAGAAGTCGAGATGAAGGAGGTGGATGTCGCCTTGTTTCAGAGATGCTTGTCAACAGTTTGCTTTTAGAATAGCCTCCCAATTTGAAATTTCTGTATACTCGTTTAGTTTAGTACAGTGGTTGCTGAGTGAGGGTCTCATTGATATTGAGATATTGGCATTTTGTTTTGGTTGTCAGGGCAGGAGATGTGATCAAGCTCATAGATGCAGGTCGGAAGTACTATGCTAAAGAATCGTCTTTGCGGAACCCAGATGTTTTGCCGGTCATTTCTCCCCATAGGCTACAGACACACAGGGTCGTCATCCTTGACCGCTCATGTCCAGAGTAAGGTGATTCTTTGCAGAGTGGAATAAGTGAAAGAATAGCAAACCTATTTTCTTATGAAGAAGGGTGAAGAAATGATATAAATTCTGATATTAGTGATGAGATTTTTTTTTTAATGAATTTATAAGGGAATGAATTAATCTAAGTTCATTGATTATCAAAATTATGAGGTAAATTAAGATAAAAATGTTGATTTTTGTTTCGTAAAAGGTGAAGGCTTTTGCTATTATTTTAGTCATATTGTTATAGAAAAGAATGATAAATGTTGGATTGGATAATTTATTAATGTTTTTAATTTTTTTTATGTTTGTAGATATATTTAAAGTTTTGTGCGAGAATAATTTTTGAAGTTGGTCTTTATAGAATTGTGCATTATATAATCTTCATTGAATTGTGAACTTGATACCAATTCTCAGTTTTATTTAGAGTTTGCTTACATATCACGACCTCAGTGCTTTCTTGTCATATCTCCATTTTTTTTTAACAGTGAAAACAGTTCATAACAAAGAGTGAGGTTAAGAAGAAGTCACATTTTCAATGTAAAAAAAAAAAATGGAGATGTGGCAAGAAAGCACTGAGGTAGCAATGTGTAAAAATTGTCTCTTAGTTATAGTATACTACCACTTATAAATGTGTCTTTTTCTGGGTATTTCTGGTCACATCTTTTGCTTACGTTCAATTTTTTTTAGTTCATAATTCCAAAATTGAAGCAGTTGAAGCTGTACTCTTTGGGATAAAGTTTTCTGATCACTGTCTTTAGCATGTTTGTTTTGATCGGCAGGAAGGCTACCATGCATGTGTTGGCAAGTGAAGAGGGTGGACTGCATATTCCTTCGTCCATCAATTTTCTAAGAAAACGAACCTCAATAGCTGTGTCTGTGTTTGCACTACTGAAGGTTAGTTTTTTTAACACTATTTGTTGTCATTTTATTTAAGTGTTTTTCCTTAAAAGAAATTCAATGGCATCTGTGATGCAATATTTAACCCTTTGAGAAGAAAATTAATTTGCACTGTCTGGTCCCCCAGAGGCAAAATATTTTGAGAACTTCATGAAAATTAGGGTGGGTCCTGAAAAATGCTTATAACTTACTTATTTTTTAAGATAAAAATATGAACCAAACATTACTGAACTGGAAATTGAATGAAGAAAAATCAACCGATAAAACGTTTCAAAACAATATCTCGTCGTAGAATTAATTTGTTTGTTCGTCAGAGTGTCTTTGCCTTTGTTTTAGTCCTGATGTTATGGTGTCAAATTTCTCCTTGTGTGATATAGTTCAAAGCAGCCCAGCGACTCAGAGGGCTACTTCGCCCTTTTTGCATTGAAATGCAGCCTATTTTCTCTCGAATCACTACTGTCCCGATAAAATGCGTCGAACAGGTTGCGAAAATTCATATTTGCAGCCATTTTAGATTCGATTGTCAGCCTTAGTGACTGATGATGTCAACAAATTTCTAGACTTCGTTTTCTTTCCCAGTTGTTATAAGATAAGAAAAGGTACATCTTTATTGTGCAGGTCCTGGCACATTGGTTTGGTGTTTAATTCTTGTTTGGGGCAGGAAATGCAGGAAAAATTTTCCTTGAAAAAAGTTTAACTCAGTTTAAACCATTTCTGTTGGTTCTGTACTCAAGTACCCGTGGTCACGATTGCGACTATGTGACCTCTTAGGGTCAGTCGTGGCGTTGCGACCATAATCGCGATAAATCTTGCGATAGGTTAAACACTTTGCCATTTCCTACTGAAGAAATGAATTTGATTCCCATGATGAGAATCTATTTTTATTGAGTATTTCCAACTGTCTGCTCACCTCCTCTGCTAATGAGGGTGGAAGTGGGGGGGGATTAGGGAGGGGCCATTGGAAGATCAGCCCACTTCTTTTTTTTTCTCTGTATTGTTTCTGTCTTATTCTTTCTTTGCTCAAAAGGACTGTAATTGTGTGGGTGCCGTTCCTTGTACTCCAATAGAACTAGTAGGCCTACCGACCTATACCTGTTGTTTGTAAAATGTCATGAAGTCTTGACTCTACTCCAGACTTCTGTTTGATTGTGACTTGAAGTAGAGCATACTCATGGCTGGTAGGAGCAGAGCTGTTAAAGTACTTTTAAAAAAGTACAGAGCTGTTAAAGTACTTTTTAAAAAGTACTTAAGTACAAATTTAAGTACAATCTAAAAAATGTACTTAAGTACAGTAAAAATACTTTCCTGTAAAATGTACTTGAGTACAAGTACTTTTTAAAAAAGTACTTATGAGTACATTTTGAGTACTTTCTGCTAATATGCTAAAACATTTCAACGCTTATGCAAAACATCATATTAAATAACATATCCGGGGGCTCTCGTGGCCTAGAGGTTAAGGTGTTGGCCTCTCATTCAAAGGTCCCGGGTTCGAATCCGGGTAGCGACCGAAAAATTTTCTTCTCTAAAATTGTCTCCTTTCACCTCCTTTCCTGCTCTCTAGCAATATTCTGTCGTCTGTTTTCGTCTCCTCTTTCTGCCCCCACCCCCTCACCTCCCTTGCCCCCTCCTCTGGGCTCCTGACTCATTCTGCAGCCTTTCTACTGCTACTCCTTGACTCCTTACAGCTGTCTTTCTACCACACCCCTGATCTTCTGGTAGGAAAAATCTACACCTAGCCTTCTCGGACAAGGGCGAAAAATCTCGGAGGGCCCGTGTGCAAGTTGCGCACGTTAAAGATCCCTTGGTGGTCTAAAATCGATAAGAGTAGGCTTCGGCCGCCACCCGGGCAAAATTCTAAATTTCCTACCAACGAAAAAGTATTAGGTGTGTCCCGCGCGCTCATATGACCTTATGCAGTTGCGAGCGCCGTAAAACCCTATACTAAACAAACAAACAAACAACAACAACAATAACATATCCAGTATTTTTGACAAGTTAGGCTATTTATTACTAAAAATGTAAACAGTATACAAAGCATTTGAATATACAATGTACACACTGAACGAAGGTGGAAATGGTCCGTGAAATTGAAAAAAACAAACAACCTAAATGAACAGACGCAACCAGTGGGTAAGTGATATTATGAATAGAACTGAACAAAACAATGTGATCAAATGTAAGTCAGTCCAAGAAGTCGGAAAGTTCTACAGAAAAAGTATCCAAATTGGAAAATGTAGATACAAAGTTGCTCTTAAGAAAACATAAAATTGATGAAAATGGCCAGCATAGAAATGGAAAAGCGCCTTGAATACTTCATTAACAAATCCTCAAGGAATCAATGTAGCCTTAAGCAAAAACCACCAAAAAAAAAGTTTGAAAGAAATTTAGACAGCCTAAAAATTTGTTAGATATACATTGAAAACACAGTTTCAGTGTCAATAGATTTTAGTGGTAAGACAGATGTTGGTCACACTGTGTAGTCCACGGCGCCCATGGCAAACCAAAAATACAATAGTTTCCTAGAGTCTAGTAAATGTATTGCAACCAAAGATTCTCTACTGCAGTAGTCTCCGCCTAAGATCCCAGTGCTCGGGAGCAAGGAAAATATGGGATCTTAGCCGACGAAGCCAAGGAAGAATCTACAGTGACCCATGAACTGGTGTGACCCCTGGATGGATTTATGACATATGACAATCAAAGAGTGGTCAACCTTGATGACAAATCACAGTGGCATGAGGCATGCCATAAATAATATATGTAAGGCAGCGTCGTGGAATCAGGGGCTCGTCAAAATAATCAAAGTGAAGAAACTTGCATTTTTCCGCAGGGTTGTGAATTTTTATCAAATTTTTGTTTTTTGGCTCAACACTTTACATGCCCAATAAATAACTCATTTCTGTATGTATTTTTCTGAAAAGTGTTGATTAAAGACACAAAAATGTAAATTTTCAGTCACCATGGACTCTTAAGCTAAGGAAATAGCTAATCTTTGGCGGCCATTTTCTCACTAATTTTACCTCTGAAAACAGGTGACCCCCACCTCCTTCTTTCGCAAATATCTCGACTTGCATTCAAGATAAATGTATAATATTTTTTTCATCCAAATAAAGACAAGTGAATAAGCTTTAAGATAATGCCTATAACTCTACGTGCCCAAAAATTGACGAGAGCCTGATTCCACCACGCTGCCTCACATATAAATAAACACTCATTAGCCTATCGTGAGTCTTGAGATCTTTATCTACGTTTATCCAGTTGCCCCTCCCCTTCACCTGCTGTCCAACAATTTTAGCTTTCGATCTCTGATTGAGTCCCCCTCCAACCGCCTTTGTCGTTACGCACCATTACGTTGTGACCACACCAATTAAAATTCAGATTGATGTAGATAGGGCCCTAAAACATTGACCCTCGAATTTGCCAATAACTATGAGGCAGTAGGAATTTATCATCCTCCCGTGGCTTCCAGGAGGTACGAAAAGTGCTGATGCTACCTGCTTGATGCATAAGAATAAGAGTGGTTAGGCGTAGTATTTTTGTGCAAGTTCAACTTTGGCTTCTCTAGCATATAATGATAATTATATTTCTCCATCCTTTTAATCCTATATCCAACAGGATGCATTTGTGGAAAACCTTACAGCAGCAAGCATCCGCATGTGTGGCATACTGGGGCTGGAGCACAGAGGTACAGGGGAACAAGAGGATGGCCTTTGCATTACGTCTCTGGTTTGCCTTGATTTGGGAGACACCGCAGCTCCACCCACCCCAGCCTCCTCAAAGTACCAGTGGTGCCAGATCAAGGATACACAACTGCAGGATTATTTGTCAAAAGGATCGAAAGGGGCACTTGTTCCTTTACTTTAATTAACTCAACCTCACTTAAAAGGCCATGTTTTGAAGTTTTCTCCCCCTCTGTAGAGGAATGATGTATTTTGGCTCAAAATGAAAAAAATAATAATGTCTACAGCAGCCACCAGATGTTATAAAGCTGTTAAATAAAATGCTTAACATTGATTATAGATTGAAGTTTTTATTAAAACAGTAGTCAATGTTTTGAAACATATCTCTACATTTTTCTGGTTGGGCAAAGAAGACCCACTGATCAGTTCTAGGTCTGTCTTCTTCATTGTTTTTGCTGTCAGATTTAACAGCCACATCTCTGGTCTGTGTGGACCTCATAGACATCATCTCTTATCCCACCACAGCCTCCTTAAAGTACCAATGGTGCCCGATAGAGGAAAACAATGGCAATATTATGTGCCTGAAGGGAAAAAAGGGGGCTCTTGTTCCTTTATTTCAGCACCTACAATGGAGGTAAAACAGAGCACTCATTTGAGAGCAAGTTTGTTCTGCAAGCGGCAGCAGCACAGAGTGGGCATACAGTGTATGATACTGGTAGTTTTCCTCTCTGCAAAACACATCAGTCTTCAAGAACGACCTGTACAAATTTTGACTGTCGTGGAGCAGCAGTCATAGTGAGCACCTCAGTGAAAATTTCAACGCTTGGATATTTACAAAAATAGGCTTTAAAAGGGGTCTTACTCTCCAGATAATCTTACTTTTTTAATTGTGTAAACATCTTTCATTGTTTGATAAATTTGATTTGTCAGTCTAAAACTTACCTCGTTTTCAAAACAAAATATTTCTTCTTCTACTACCTTGATCTCAACATGGATAACACCATTTTATAGCTCAGATTTTCCTCTTTAAAATGATCTACCTCAAGTCATGAGGGTTCAGAAAACTAAACCAAAAAGCGAATAGTTTCAGATCCATCAAAAACACGACGCGCCCCGACTGGGATGAAAAAACAACGGGGCAGCGGCAGCAGGGAATTCCTCAGGCGCGTTCGTTAATTGAACTGCCTAGTCATAGTACAGCTTGACATTTGTTTGAAACTGCCACTGTAGGGGTTATTATCATTGTTGTGATAAGGTTCCTCCTACTTTCAAATTAATGTATCGGTATGTTGTTCTCTGAAACTTTGCAAAGTTTATTCCTTGATGATGACGAGTTCTCTCTGTTTTTCTCTCAGTAGTAAAATTGAGCTACTGGTTGCTTTACTGTTATAGATCTATCTGTAAAGGTGTATAGTCATTTTGATCTCAAATATGCTTGTCCAAAAGTCTGAATCTTGAATGTATCTGAATTATTAGATGAATGAAGAAATGCCAATTTATTTGACTCTCAAGATTTTCCCGATTTTTACCCACTTTCAGACTACCTTCCACTGATAAAGTAATGGTCACTTCCTCTTTCCAGTGTCCAATTCTCAACATCAACTGTGTGCTTTCATGAGAGAAGGGAAAGGAAAGTGGGGAGGGATACGAGGGGTAACAAAAAGTGATGGTAATAGGCAGGCAAACGAGGAGACGACACCAATATATTCATTGAACAGGTATTCGCTTGGCTTGTGTACGTAATACAAAAACTCTATAAGTGAAAACAAAATATTGAAACTCACATGTTTGGATAAGCTTACATCTATTGGGCCAACATTTGGACTCTACACAGATGATTAATTATTTCAAAATGGCTGACCCTAATACTTCATTGTTGAGAAAGCATCTCTCTGGACAGGCCTAGTGTTTAATGTCTGTTTTTTTGCAAACTTGATTTTTTTTTTTCCCCTCCTTGATGACTTATAAAAAGGATGAAACGTTAGTTTGTGAATCCTGTGAAATTCCACTAAATCAAAGGGAACGCATTGTAGTATTGTTGTTTTCTTTTATGGCCTTTTTACTATTCTTCGAAAGTATTCTGGCAGCCAAATTGTGAATCAAGAGAAATATTTCTTGCTGTATTGTGATATATTTAAGTTTTACACTTTTGCTACTGTCTTTGTGATGTTTGGACAGTTGTTGTATGATTAGAACATTTTTTTTTTTGGTACTGACCAAAAGTTTTGTTTGGTAAAAGTGTACGGGTACGAATGCTGTGTGTGAATGCTGTAAGATTTGAACAGATTTAAATATCCCTCCTTCACTTTGCACTTGAGGAAAGTTCCTGAAATGGAATACTTGAATCGAGGCTCTACATGTTTTTACACTCTGTTACTTCCGAAGTATGCTTTGAGGCAGTATACATGTAGAATATATATAATATATATATATATAGGTCTATATACAGTCTAGCATGCACGTAGCGCACATACACATAGCGTAACATGAACAAAATAAACTGATTTTCCGGTCCCGCATTTTCTCATATGTACCCGTTATATTCTTTATTATAAAACTTGCACACAGCAAACTTTGTACACATCTAAAAGATTTCCATGTCTCGCCAAATTCATTATATGTGCGTGCTGTACTGTATAGGATTAAACACAGTGATTTATATATTGTGAGTGTGTTAGTGTTTTAGCGCCTGTGAAAGTATGTGCTGAATGAAGCTGAGAGAATATTTCAGAATGTTAATGGGCCCTGTTGGTGAAGTAATAAACTAAAGCGCATAGAGCCTACTTTGTAGTAGGGGTTTGGTTTATAAGTAGAATGTATTATTATTGTTACTTTTTACCATTTTAAAAAATGTGGTAGAAATACTGATGATATTGCCATTTATTTGATAGCGCATTCCACACTCTACAGCCTGCTCTGTGTGCTTTACAGCTATTATTACCCTAGCAGACCATGGAACACTCAGAAATATTCCCAGCTTACCAGGAAGCGTACTGAGCAAAGTGCGGATTGCATACGCTCAAAAAACCCTAACAAACTGACAAAACCTTTTGCTGTCTATAGCTGGGTATCATTCCCACCTGGTTAAAGTGAGGAAAATTTGTGTAAAGTGCCTTTCCCAAGGACACAACATGGGGTCCCTGATGGACTCGCACCCATGACCTTGCGGTTGCGAGTCCGAGAGCCTAACCACTATGCCATCGACTGGTCAGGTCAAGACTCCGCCATACGTTACATTTCAAAACAGCAGAGTCTTACATGAAGCAGTCGATTCATTATGGTATACAGGGGAGAGGAAACAAGCAGACATATTCTGTATGGTATGTTATGAATGTTCACCCTGTGGATCTGAGCACACGCTTGTTTCCTTTCTCGGCACCAAACGCTCATGTCAGCGTGTGGTGGTGTACATCTAGTGGTAGTCGGACCCAAGGCATATGGGGCCAGGGTTCAAAAGACTAAAGAGCCCCCCTCACAGATTGTGCTCTTTCCACTGCCATTTTGTATAACATACACAGTAGGTCATATATTTAGTAAATAGTGCAGTTTAAGTCAAAAAGAAAGTTGATTCAAAATTTCTTCTGGTGTGTGTAAGTGATAAGGCAGACGAACAAAAACAGTGAAAGTTTGTTTTTTAACTCATGTATGTCTGTCTCTGTTCTAATACTTGGTACATGTATTCGGGTAGTTTGAGATAGGATTGGTGAGTTGATTGAACAATACAAAGAATTCCTAGCTTTTGTTGTGTGCACCTACATGCATGTTTATCCATTTTTATCTTCGGAGAAATGCAAATTACTCAAACTCCATGAGTTGTGTTGGTTTTCGCGTCAAGGGATTGTTTTTATTATATGCTTTTGTTTTGGTCAGTTTAAGATTTATATTTTTAAAGATTTTTGCATGTGACTTTTTAAATCTTTGACTCCTTTTTAAATGTTATGAAATATCTTGTCATTGTCAGATTCAGGCTGTCAGAGAGCAGAAGGGTAGTTATGCTTGGTGTTGTTGTTTAGCACGCATTGTGACGTGAAGAGTCATATCTTGTCATGTTAGATTTCTGTATGTAGTGTTTTGTGTTGGATGATATCATGTATGCTTGTAGAGAAGAGACTGTCAATATTATATAGGGCAACAGAGGCTTGTTTCAGACATTTGAACTTCTAATAGAAAAGACTGGTGTTGTGTGTATATATGTATTTGCTGTAAAACTAAACTGGTTGTTTATTTCAAATGAGGTGAAAATTAATCTTAAATTATTTCTTTTCTAGACAATCTTTAAATATCCATGCTATAGTGCAAGCAATATATGTTTTGCTGCATCCGCTTCAACTTTATGTTTTTAAACAGAAGGATAATATTCATGCTTCTTCAAATAAATTACTTCCATCAGTCTGTGCTACAATTGTGTGTGAAGACCCGTCATATTTCAGAAAATTTGCCTTTTTCTTGATTATTTTTTCATTTCATTTGGGTGCAATTGCAATCAGAGCATTCAAGTAAAAAGTCATAGCACTTCAGTTGGCTGGGGATGGGGGTCCAAAGGATAATACATGACGGGTGTTTTTGGCCCTCCTACACACTGAGCTATTTCTATCTGTAATGTGGTGTGTATTTGTGGGGGGGGGGGGATTTTTGCGACTGTCTGTCCTTATATAAGCTTCAGACCTGTCAATATGAAGCTACGACATCATAAACAACAAGGGTTGTCCGTGTAGTTTCCAATGCTTATTCTGCCTTCCATTTAAAAGATAAAAGAGAAAGATGGCTTACGCACCCTAGAAGTAGAAGGGAAAACAGTGTTTATGATACAATGAATTTAAAACATTTGCCAAAGTCATAAAATTGTTATGAAACTTTAGATGTGGTTTACAACAGAATGTTCAATATTTTTTATCTTTTTTTTGTTGTTGTTGTTTTTATGAGACTTTCAAATTAGTCTCATATTACCTCATGTGTTGCACTTAAGATAGAAAAATCAAAAAGATTCTTTTTTTTTTTTTCAGTTTATATATATATATATATCTTATCATCACTTGTCCCTGCACCGTTTTCTCTCCCTAATAGAGCAGAAAATTAAATGTTACATACATGCATGAACTAAATAACAGGTGCACAGGCTTTGACATGCCTTCCAACTTTCTATTCTCCCCTGCCATTGTCTCTATCTGACTGTTTGTCTGTCTGCCTGTCTGTCTGTCTGTCTGTCTGTCTATCTGTATCTCTTTATCTCTGTTTCTCTCTCTCTCTCTCTCTCTCTCTCTCTCTCTCTCTCTCTCTCTCTCTCTCCCTCTCTCTCTCTCTCCCTCTTTCTCTCTCTCTCTCTACTCTCTCTCTCTCTCTCTCTCTCTCTCTCTCTCACTCACTCTCTCTCTCCCCCTCTCACGCCTGCACAAGCATTTTTATGAACCTATGCATTTTGAAAAGGTATGTGTCATTATTACTTCTTTTAGTCATACATTTGCCGCATACTTTATTTTGATTGCTTTTTTAATGACGTGGGTGTTCACTTTTATCCTTATGAAAATGTGTCGCGATGTGGTGCAACAGGCACTCGTCAATTTTGGGGCATATGAGGTTATTGGTATCATCTTAAAGCCTGTTCATGTGCCTTGCTTTTGGTTAAAAAAATATCCATATAATATGTTGAAAAGTAATAGAAGTCAAAATATTTACGATCGAAGGAGGTCATGGTTGCCTTGTTTCAGAGGTGAAATTAGCGAGAAAATGGCTGCCAAATTTGGGTAATTTCCATGGTTTGAGAGTCTTTGGAAACTGAAACTGAAAATTTGTTGTGCCTTTAATCAATGTTTTTCAGTAAAATCCACACCAAAATGTGTTTTTAAATTGATATATATATATATAAAAGGTGTTGAGCCAAAAAAAGAAATTTTAGAAAAAAATTACCCACGGTCAGAAAAATGCCAGTTTCTTTGATTTCACTATTTTGATGAGCGCCTGATTTGACCATGATGCCTCACATAATATTATAGAGTGGAATTTGGTTATAATGAAGTCCTGGGGCCCGGCCTCCATGTTTGTTGAATCAGAATATTTGTTATTAAAAGATGTAACTAACGAGAGAATTTTTAGAAATCTGTAATACATGTGATAGGAACATCTGTTCTGAACATGTCATGGGGCCAGTATAAGGAAACAGAACCAATTGTGTCGCGAAGTGCATGAGCCGTTGCTTCCTTTGACAAAGCCCATGGACATATGGGTCAGGCCTTCATAAGGTTCACATTTTGGTTTTTTTGCTTGAACCACATCGGAACTTACAAGTACTATTCAAGTACAGGTGTCCATTTTTTCTTCTGTTCATGTGTGTCTTCGTCCATGACTGCTTATCATAGACTCTGAAATTTCTCTTTCAAAAGAACTTGTCAGAGAGCTGGGTGCATTGCAGTATTCACAACAAAATCTGCTCCCCCCTCTATCCATTCCCCTATTTTCGACTTCATAAATGCCTAGCAAGCTGGTTCTAAACAGTCTTTTTTTCTGTTTGCTATTTAACCAAATGTGTCCTAGTTCTAGACTCATGTTCAAAACTAAACTTCTGTAGTGCTACAGACTATTGAAAGGGTATAGCAAAATACACTAGACTCTCTCTAATTGCATGCTATGTTAAAAGACAGTATCGTTCAAATGCACACATTTGTCAATTAACGTATTTTGTAGAACGAGTTGAATTGCGATGTAGGGCTTAGATCGGCTACGCTTAGTGGCAAAATGTGGTTCCACAGACCTGTGTGCAACTCATTATGTAGATCTTAGTCCAGCCCCTTTGTTCAGTTGTCGGGGGAAAATATGACTGTGATGTGTCTATATCCCTGCTGATGTTCCTTGCCGGGAAACACATCTTGCACACTTCAACAAACCATTGAGGTGTTGTTGAAGAAGATGGCTTCTGATATTAGTTTGCATACAATGGCTGTATGTCTCTAATAGGTCAGTCGTAATGTGCAGTCACTGTGTCTGATATACATATTCAATAAGTGAGTAATGATCAACGATGCTGGGCAATCAACGTTCCTGTTGTGTTGAAGGCAAGTAATAAAAAGTTTCATCATGTGAGAAAAATGTGCAAAGCCTCCTCAGCATGGCCTGGTTGCTCCACCATTGACTTCGTTGATTCAGAGTTTGCTCATTTATGTGTTCGATACTAGGTATTTTATTGATTTTTATAAAAGACCCCCCCCCCCCCCCCCCCCAAGAATTCTTCTTGATTCTTGTTTCGTTGAATCTGAGTTTTACTGTATTCTGTTGGTTTGAATTTTCAGTTTACATCATTGCATTTTGCTTTACAACCAATGAAGATGAATCCTGGGTACATGTTTATGTCAATAAAGGAATAGATTTTTTTCTTCTAAAACTTTGTGAAAAGTGTTGTTGATAGATAGTACTTTTCATGGAATATGGTGTTCGAAGAAAGGATGTGGTAGTGGCAGTTTTTCTTTGGCTGAAATCATTTGAAAGTTATACATGTAATTAGGTTATAACATGGATACTTAATTTTGTCCTCAACTCAGTTGAAAGAATTAACTGTGCTGTGAGTAACATTTTTTGCCTCCATCGATACAATTTAACTAAAAATTAGGAAATAGCCTTCATTGGCCTGCCTATCAGGGCTAGGCTGGGCTGAGTGAAATACGGCATCCCAGTAGACAGAAGGGGAGATTTGATAAAGATACATTTCCTCTTATAGTATAGCCTGGGAATTGAACCCATGTCTTCTGTTTGCCTTGTCAAAAGGCCAGACCATAATTACACTACATACCCCAGTTGACATGAGACAGCACCTCAGGAGGGAGAGGCGTCATTGAGAATGGTCCATGCCCCTGTGTTCCCGTGTGTCTGGGTTACTCTACACGCTTACTCCCCGGGGCGGTGCCACTGACTGGTGTCTTTAGGGCATTCCTAAAGGGGGGACATTTCTCGTTCTAATGCACAGTAGAAGAATTGTAAATGGGCTGATCGAACAATGTCATGCTCATAACTGCCTGAACTACAGCAGGGAACTGCTGCCTTTTCTTTCCTAATCCTTACTATCATCATTTTCCTCTACTTCTTTTGTATGCTTGTCACTCTTTTGTGACCCGCTATTTCCGGGATGCCTGGATATTGAATGATAGTCGAAGCAGACCTTGTTCTGTTGAAGCTAGAGAGGTGAGCAGAGTAAGTCTGATTCCCTGTAAGGACTTCTCTTTTGACATCCACCCTTGGCGCTCATATGACCTTATAATATATGCAGTCACGAGCGCCGTAAAACCTCTACTAAAACAGACTTTGAACTTCTGATTTATTAATTTAATACTACTTGAAACTACTGTGCTTTTTTCAGGAAAATCAAAATTTCAAAAATATTTCATTTTATTATTCCTTTGTTATGATATAAGAGAGAGAGAGAGAGGTGGGCAGGCAGATAGAGAGATAGGCAGTCGGGCAGACAGACAGAGTGAGAGCGATAGACAGGCAAGCAGACAGACAGACTGACAGACAGACAGTTTTGCAATGTTGTTCAGTTTCAGTAAGTTTCATGATATTTGCCACATAATCAGGTTGTATAAGGGGCTGTTCAAATATAATCTTACACCTTTTTGGGGACTTTTTAACACCCCCTCCCCCCGCCCTCCTTCTTACACTTTTCTTACATTAGCCCCC